CTCTTTTGATAATCTAGTGTGACAGTACAAATCTTACTTCTTTATCTTTTAGAGTGAACCCAGCACATATTTGCATCACCAGAGATCAACACCTGTATAATCTTCTGATTACCATTTAACTCGAATCAGACCTTGTATTCCATGACGTGAATCATACATATCAGCAAACCAACTTTGTAGCACTTTATTTTTTTTTAAATTGTCTAATCCCAGGCAAGACAATAAATCCACTAAATCTTCAGTAGTTCCTGAATGCAAAAGAATATGAAAAAAGAAAAGAAAAAGAAAGCACTATTAAGAAGTCAGAACAATAAAAGAATAGGAATTAAGATAGATGATAAGGATTGACATAGCATTTAAATTTTTGAAGATCGAAGTTGACCGGGAAGCAAGAAGCTGGAAGAGAGTTCTACAAGTGAGAAGTGCTACAGAAGAAACTCTTAGCATAGAACTTACGGTTACATCCAGCCATCTTCTCTGTAAAATGAGGGTACCTATTTGCCAATCTAGTATTGTGTTTAAATTTGTAAAGTCAAGGTAACAGAGAGAAGAACTCATCAGAACAATTACCATGAAAATATTTATAGACATGGCACAGTGTGTCTAATGTATACTGGATTATTATATATATATATATATATATATATATATATATATATATATATAACGTCATCCACAGGCAGACTGTTTCGCTGTTTACAGCTCATCAGTGTGGCTAGACATCCGGTTGCCTCTAGCTAGGATCGAAACCACTAAGCCATCGGCGCACGTTAGGGATAAAGTTGGATTTTAGCGTATTTATTTTAGAAACACGCCCAGTGACTGTGATATATATATATATATATATATATATATATATATATATATATATATATATATATATATATACCCAATATGATGTGATTATATATATATACCCAAGTATACAACCGGAGTATATGAAATAAATTCCAATAACCAACAAATATTATTCTTAAAAGACTGCTCAATACAGAGTGAGAAAATTTAATCATTTATTCAAAAATTATAACATGAAAATGTTATAAAATCAGTACAAAAATAGCCATTTTGTTTCAACACTTCCGGTGTCCTATCAAGTGATGGTTTTGAATGTATAATAAAGGGATTTTAAAGACCTTTTTAAACCCTTTATTCTACATTCATTTATGTTATAATTTTCGAATAAATGATTATATATATATATATATATATATATATATATATATATATATATATATATATATATAATTATATAGGGTGTTCGAGCTAAATTCGACCGTTTTCGAAGGAAAAAGAAATGAATATCTAAGCCCCAAATCGATTTCTTGCAAAAATAGAAAATTAGCACACAGACTATAATAATCAAAAGACAATTCGCTCAAAGAAGCCAGAAGCCACGCTCAGCATCTACCACGGCTCCGGAATCTGGCACATGCGGACTTCACAAAGTCCCTAGGGTGGGGCCTCAAATGCCTCCTTAATTCTGTCGATCAGCTGGGCCTTATGTCTTTCTCAACTGCGCCCTACACATGATAACCCAGAGATTACAATCAAAGAAGTAAGGGAGCTAGACGTCGGCGTTGTTGAAGCTGTAAAAATTATCTGACAACCACTTCTTACTCTATCTGGAGGTTTGGCAAGGAACTGAATCTTGCTGTCACATATATGACTTTCCAGCAGACACTCTCTCCAACACGGTGTTTAGGAACTCCTCATAGCCATCCGAATTGCTCCTGGGACCCTGTTTTAAGATGTGAGGTGGCAGGTAACACCTAAAGGCCATCACAGTTTGGGGAAAACTTGGTCTTCATGATACAAGAAACGTCATATGGATTGTAGGCAAGCTGATGGGTAGCTGGTCCTGACAAAAGATTCTTCTTATCAGAGAAGAACATGATTGTTTATTGGTCAATCGGATGTTTCACCTTATTTAGGAATTTTTTTGCATTTATTAGATGGCCCTCTCGAGCTTTTTTTGTAAGAAGTTGACCATTACACCTCTTGCATGACTTGTAGCGGAGGTCCTCGTTCAAGGCCAGATTCATGGTCTAAATTGGAACACGCATTTCGCGCGCTAAAGCCCGCATTCTCTTGCCTAAGTCTTCCCATTATTTTCTCCTGCAATTATTGGATGCACTCTAGTGTACGGCAGCAATCAGAACGTCTGCTGTGTTCTTCCCTTTCAAGCTACGGCCTCGCCGACTCTGTTGCAATTCTCCATTTCACGTCTTTTTTTTTTCACCGGGTTGAAAGAACATTGAACATCTATCATGAAAATTTTCAAGTCGGGCACGAATCATCATGATGCAGGTTAGCCTTTTTCAATGTTCAGGTTGTTTTCATTCGTCCATGACAGTTAACTTTGTCACTTAAAACTGCAGTTTCACAATGCCGATCGCACTTTACAGATATTCCAAACAAATTTGAAAAAAAATCAAAGCATTAAACCCAAACACCCTGTATCTATATGATGAAGCCATTAAAGCAATCATTTATGATTGTTATAAAGGGTTCATTTCTCTGTACATGTCACTATTCGATCAAGAAATAAATCATTTAAATTTCGCAGTTGCAGCAGAGAACACACTTCAAAATGTATGCCATGTACCACCTTGATCTTCAAGACTCGTATCCTCACTGTGGAACTTCAGAAATCAGCCCCGTACTGTCTGATCTCAAGAGAATCCTTCTCCCTATGCTGTCTTAATTTGAGAAGCATTATGACCAAACTTGAACACATGCAAAAAGTAAATGCATCTCTTTCTTTTTTCATGTTCAAGATGACACGTATATAATGTTTTAAATTCCAAAAGAGATTAATATTAAATTAACAAAGAGGACACTTTAATCATTAGGAATGAATTATATATTTTTGCGCAACGATTATAATAATCTATTAAAACACAATGCTTATTCTAAAATCAGCCAATATTTTCTAAACAACCTAAAAGAAACAAATATACATATCCCCCCTAATGACAAAAGTACACAGATTAAACTCAGTATTAATAGCATAAAATAAATCTACAGTTCTGTCTATATCCCTGAGATGAGGTGTTATGATTACTTGCATTATTTACATTATTCGAACTGTTTTCTTCATCTTCATTACCATATTCACAACGTTTTGGCCGTTGTACGATCCGACCTTCATGTGATTGGAATTTTGATCCGATCCTTTTATTTATGTAGGGAAAAAGAAGATCAGCGCCCACTGTGAGATGAGGTTGAGATAACAGACAGAGAGCATCACTGGAAAATACGAAAACTTAAGGAATCAGCATTTATGCAAGCACCCAAAAATCTCCTGAGCCGACAAAGCATAGAAATGAAGACAATATAGGAACTAGTAATAAGGAGCGCTAGAATAAAGCAATGAATAAGAACAAAAATTGCAATATAAGCTCTGGTAAAAAAAATGAAATAATAATAACAAAAATTGCAATATCAGCACTTTTAAAAAAATGTAAGATTAATAAGAAAAATTGCAATATAAGCTCTGGTAAAAATGAAATAATAATAACAAAAATTACAACATAAGCTCTGGTAAAAAATGAAATAATAACAAGAAAAATTGCAATATAAGCTCTGGTAAAAATAAAATAATAATAACAAAAATTGCAATATGAGCACTGGTAAAAAAAATGAAATAATAACAACAAAAATTGCAATATAAGCTCTGGTAAAAATGAAATAATAATAAGAAAAATTGCAATATAAGCTCTGGTAAAAATGAAATAATAATAACAAAAATTACAACATAAGCTCTGCTAAAAAATGAAATAATAACAAGAAAAATTGCAATATAAGCTCTGGTAAAAATGAAATAATAATAACAAAAATTGCAATATGAGAACTGCTAAAACATGCCGAAACGTTGTGAATGTGGTAAAGAAGATGATAAAATAGTCTAAATAATGTAAATAATTCAAGAAATCTACAACTATTGCCAACATTGCAACAACAGAAATTCAAAAAAAAAAAGCTTATTTTATCTTTGAATTCGTTCTTCTGAAACTTCAGAGATATCAACTCTGGTTTGGAAAATTTTGGTTTAACGTTTTTAAACAAGTGTATGTGCATATCTTTGGAAAGTGATGTCTGTAATTTGAAAGTTACAATTGCAATAAGGATAAATGAAGTTGTTTATCTTGCGCTGGCGAGCTCAGGTGGTGATATCTTTTTTTATAGCAATTGTAGAGGCATGTTTGGTGTGAATTATTTGAACGAACAATAAATAGAAAGGAATTTCTCTGTAAAGTTTAGAAAAAAGCTTGAAAACGGTATTCAAATATGGCATTACATGAGCTTCTCTGTCAACGTACTTCTAAAGTTCGCAAAGGAAAAGAACAAAATCCGGATTTTATAAGCCAAAGAATTCATTATCACGAATCAGTCAGTTATATGCCATGCGTGATACACGTTTAGACGATCATGTATCTTTCGATACATGGCTGTATTTTCTATCAGTAGGTTGCCATTACTTTCTGCGGTATAAGAAGAATCTTCAGGACTACAGAACCCTCTCTGTCCTGCTATTTACCTATAGCTGGAGGGAGAAGAAGAGAATTCATACCTTTCCCAAGGGTATTAGCACGTAAGGGAATGTAATGGACTCGATTGGAATTCGAACTCAGCTCTCCGATTCCTCAATCCTCGAGTCGCTATTCATTACTCCACCGTGTCTTAAAATCGTTAAAGGATGAATTAATTGTCGAAATTTAGATTCAGTCTTTCAAACTTCAGTCGATATTTATTTTTTCTTTGGGCTGGTGGGTTGTAAATAGGTCCCGTATCAACTAGGGGATTAGAAGGAACATTTAGGGAGAACTTCTGCGGCTTATGGAAGATATGATAGAATCTGTTATAAAAGAAGATGGAGAAAGATCTCGAGTTTGAGAAACGGAACAATCATTTCAGAAAGTTATTTTTTATTCTATTTTACGTATTTATTGTCGGAAGCTATGAAAACAATTAAACTACAAGCAATTAAAACAATATTAATTTTTAAATGATTTACGGGCATGACAAACTCGAGATAAAGAGGTGCATATGCAGAGAATGAGATAGATAGATAGATAGATAGATAGATAGATAGATAGATAGATATGAACAGTGATAGATAGATAGATAGATAGATAGATAGATAGATAGATAGATAGATAGATAGATATGAACAGACAGTGATAGATAAATATGAACAAACTTATATATATATTATATACAGAGATAGATAGATAATGTATATATATAGATATAGGTATGAAGAAACTTATATATATATATATATATATATATATATATATATATATATATATATATATATATATGAACTGAATGAGATAGATAGATAGATAGATAGATAGATAGATAGATAGATAGATAGATGAATATGGACAGACAGTGATAGATAGATAGATATGAACAAACTTATATATTATATAGAGATAGATAGATAACGTATATATATATAGATATAGGTATGAAGAAACTTGTATATATATATATATATATATATATATATATATATATATATATATATATATATATAAATAGACTGAGATAGATAGATAGATAGATAGATAGATAGATAGATAGATAGATAGATAGATAGATAGGAATAGACTGAGATAGATATGAACAGACTGTCTTAGATGGGAACAGAGTGCGATAGCTAGCTAGCTAGATAGATAGATATAAACAGACTGCCACATATAGATAATGAACTAACTCCGATAGATAGATAGATAGATAGATAGATAGATAGATAGATAGATAGATAGATAGAAACTGTCATATATAGATATAACCATGTTGCGATATAGATCTAAATTGTCTGAGGTCGATGCCTACTGATTGCTCCATCTTTACAGACGATCGCCATCCTGCTCATCAATATCTACTCTCGTGACCCTCATCGCCACTTCTTCAATGGTCACCAAGGTGACTCTTTAAACCAGCAGCCGACCTGCATGGCTGGAAGCAAAGATGAAAAAATAAACTCAATTGTATTCCTAGGATTTATCGGAACATGCTGTGATACCTGTTCCTTGTGCACTACCATATATCTCTCTTCAATCAATCAATAATCAATCAATTAATCAATATATATATATATATATATATATATATATATATATATATATATGCACGAATCAAACTTTACTCTCTTTTAAAATATCTTGACTTGACCGGAATGTATGGGAAATCCGAAATCAATGTTTTATGGGAGGCTTTCTGGATATTTCCTTCTTCAATGGTCTTATAGACAAACAAAGCTGGAACACCGATCCACGTCACCGACATTAAGCGGATCTATCACAGGTACCGTAAGTGAAAATTAGATACAAATCCGGTTGGTTTGGTTCAGTTTGGTTCGGTTTGCTTTGGTTTGCGGGATATCAAATTCAGTGAGTTATTTAATGCCGACACTATTTTTATTGCTAGTAATATTTTTTTTTTCAAAAATGTATTGCTGGTAATTTTAATTTTTCAAAAATATATTGCTGGTAATATTTTTTTCTCAAAATATATTGCTGGTAATATTTTTTTCTCAAAATATATTGCTGGTAATATTTTTTTCTCAAAATGTATTGCTGGTATAATTTTTTTTTTCAAAAATGTATTGATGGCAAAATTTTTTTTTTTAAATATATTGCTAGTAATATTTTCATTTAAAAAATATTGATGGTAATTATTTTTTCAAAAATGTATTGCTGGTAATAATTTTCCCCCAAAATGTGCTGCTTTTATTACTGGTAATAATCTTTTCCTTCAAAATTGTATTGCACGTATTTTTTTCCCCAAATCTATTGCTGGTAATAATTTATTCTAAAAATGTATTATTGGCATTAAAACACTTTCATAATGTTTTGACCCCAGACTGATGGTTAACTATTTGCCCATTGCTTGGACTCTAACAGGTGCTACCATCCCAGGCTCAGGGTGGACCGGACCAGGGATGGTAGCATTAAATTAAGTGGTAGTTCCATGCTCCTAAAAACTCCAGATCAGAGGCCTTGCTGTAGGCCGTAGTTATCGTCTTACCCAGGACGCGGATGTAGTTTATCGTCTTACCCTGGATGCAAGTCAAGGTGAACCTGGGAACACCAGCAATTAAGAGGTGATTCCAAGCTCTTCAAAACCTCCTGATCTAGAGGCCTTGCTGTTGGATGTAGTTTATCCAGTTACACAAGGTGATAACAATTTCATCCCGTAAAATACTGACTTGGTATGGAAGCCACATCAGCAGTCCCTGGTGTTATTGAAAGATGGAACCCCAGGGTTCCTCAGTGAAGAATTTTGAAAAGAGAATATTGAAAGTCCAAAGCGCTGTATTTTGGTTGGTTGCTTTAAAGCGAGGCCATTCTGAGGTAACTGGAAATTCTACCAGGATTCATCATTGGCGGCCATAATCTTAACAATATAAGATACGCAGATGACACAATGCTGAAAGCACATATGGCGAAAAAGATGAGGACAATAGTCCGAATAATGTAAATAATTAATTGAGTCCTCATTGGATTAAAACGTAAGTTTAATGTTAATGTGTATGTAACAAAACGTATGAAAACATTTGAACTTTATCGTATGTGCTCTAACATTAAGAAAATTAGGTCACTCTGGCCTAGTTTATTAAAGTTTTCATGAATTTGGTGAGAGTAATTATCAGTTCAGTTACTGTGCTGGGCAGTGTTTACTTTGACTTGGTTGAAACGGGTAACCAGTAACCAAAATTAAGAACAAGACGAGATATTCCAAGACAGTGAGAGGAGAACAATCTCTAGGGTCCCCAGAAGAATGCTGGAGCATACAACGGTCGAAACGTTGTGATAAATATGGCAACAAAGATTAGGACAATCGTCCGAATAATGTAAATAGTGTACAATCTTCTTAATTCTGTTATTTTATTGTCTTTTCTTATAGCTACTGTCTTCTCTTGTTTCTTTCTACTCTCAATACCTCTTCGTATCTTACATTATTGCTTTCCCTTGGGAGAAATGATTAAAAAAAATTCCATATATTTACGTTATACAACAAATATTCGTTTTTAAAAATGATTTCTCTTCCAGTCAATGCACTCAATTCAGTAGCGAATATCAATGACGGGTTTATACGTGATTCGTCCGTAAACCATAAATCATCGCAATTACTGCTTTGCCTCATTAAAGATTCATTCGTGCTTGAAGTATTTCTCTTTTGATATCACTGGCATTCAATTTCAAGTGACGACGATATAGCGGTGCCATCTTTGGTCTGATTTCATGACTTTATTATGTACTCTTCGCGTAGACTGGCGTTCAGATCTCATCAGTTTAACCATGAGCTAGCTAGCTGTAGCCGAAACTTCCATACTAAGAGATTCTTATCCCGCCCATCACGCTTGTGGAATTCCCTTCCGACTCCATCCTTTCCAACCAACTTTAGTACAAGAGATTTCACTTCAGTTGAAAGAGTTACCTACTCATTTTACAGATCAAATATATATTGTAGTAGGCCCTTAAAAAAAACCCTTCGACCATGCATACCTCTGTCTCTACATAAGTCTACTTTTAAACATTTTTTATGGGATATCACATCCAAGTACTGTCAAAAGGATTACTGAAAGATGTATATGGCTAATCATAGTATCGGGTATATGAAACTGGACAAAAAATTGTTTAGTATGTCAACAAAATAAAGTTGCCAGGATACTAAACTAAAATTGAATTTAGTAACCCAAACGTAAGATTTATTAATTTGCATATCGATCTGGTAGGTTTACTCACACACTCTTGAAGTTATCAATATAATTTGACTTCTCGATTATGGAACATCCATCCGGCTTCATGCTTTCCAACCAATTTTAACCTGCAAAAATGTAAATGCAATGTCAATCGCTATCTACTATCCCGCTGATTGCTCTTTTCACTTTCTCCTCATTACTAATGCTTCTGTTCCTAATTACTCCACACTCTGTAAGCCCTTGCGTGTTAGCGGCTTTATTGCCTTCCATGGAGGTGATACTGATTAAAAAAATATAATTTTCTTTTTCTTTCCGAAATCCCCTTTCTTTGTTCAAAAATATTTTTTTGGATGGCCAAGTTCTACCGGAATAGGACCCAATAATATTTTTACATTTTTTTTTTTGCTTTCTTTTTTAATGGTAAACAAAATTTATGTCAACGTGTATATCTATATTAATATCAAAGTCAAAGCAGATTAAAACAGTCGAATCTATTAACTCACATCAGGTCATATCATTCTCTTTCTTAATTTTCACTCATATATATATATATATATATATATATATATATATATATATATATATATATATATATATATATATATATATGAAACAACACATATTAAAAAATATTAAAATAATATTAAAAATAGAGTGTTAATGATATTATATGTAAAGATTACTTAACTTTTAAATATCAATTTTTATCTTGGCATTGATGTTTCTTGGTAAAATTTTCAGTCTTCAGGGGTTGTGATTTTAAACAGTATTTCTATTTTTTTTTAAAATTGGAAATACCGTTTAAGACCACAACTCCTGAAAACTGGAAATTTTAACAATAAATTTTATCAGGAAACATAGTTGCCGACATAAAAATTGATATTTAAAAGTTAACTAATATCTTTCATATAATATTAAATATATATATATATATATATATATATATATATATATATAGAGAGAGAGAGAGAGAGAGAGAGAGAGATAGAGAGAGAGAGAGTTTGTCTGACGATCGCAAAAACGTGAAACCCAGGGTCACAAACTCACATCAATTCAACAAAATATGTTAGCTCTAACTGATATTGAGCGCTTTCTAATAAGTACCGCGCATATAAAATATAAATAATTATATATATATTTATTTATATTTATATACACACTTTTCACACACACACACACACACACACACACACATATAATATTATATATACATGTGTGTGTGTGTGTGTATTACTCAAACGTTATTATAGTGGAAAGACGTATTTGAAATAAACGCGCCATTATTTTTATAGATAAAACCACCGTTTCATTTGGTGTGCTTTACCGCTCGTCCACGAAGAACGTCAGAGTAAAATAAAGTACGTCAGATTGAATGAACGTTTTCCCTACAAAGAGGAAGGCAGTTTCGACCCCTTTCGCTGGACACTTTTTCTATATTACAATTTCTGTGCTGACCGATAAATATAATGCGCATTGTTTAAAGTAAAAATGGAACGTCCTTTTAAAATACAAGTATCCACTAATAATCACGTTTGAAATAATAAAAAAATGTCGGATTAAAAGTAAATCTGTTAATGCTTTAGAAATATATAAGTGTGCGTGTAATTACTTCATTTTTTTTAATGTTTGGTTAAATACCAAGAAAAGAACTTTGTAAAATATTTTTCCTATATTTAAGACCATTTCTCCCGTTACTGCTAGACATTGAAATATATAGTACACAATGTATGAGTACTTTCGACTTTCACAAGGCATTATCAAAATATTCTTATATTTGTACGATGTCGGTTTCATCATTTCCACATATCGTGTCTTTACGTGACAGTTCGTGTTAACTTGTCGTTTGATTATTATTTATTTATTAAATGTATTTTGTATTATTATTCTTAAACTTGATATATATTTTTTTGATGATGGGTTGTTTTTTTATACTTAATGCTGCTAACACTTGTCGTTGTTTTACATTTTACCTGATGGATTTTTGAGTTAGTTAACGATTTAATTGAACTATTATGATATAAATGGAACGTTAATCGGCGCGATAATATAGAGGTTGTGTAACCAA